TACCATCAAGACAAGATCTCGTTGGTTCATTTGATCCATCCCAGGAACCTACCACGTACCCTTATTTACATTATTATGCGGAAAACATGTGCTTCCTATTACTAAATTACTTGAAAACTGGCCTAGTTGTATTTGGGTCAGTGGCCATTTTCACTCCCCTCTTCATGTAGAGAGTGTTTTCCTGCTACCTGGTTCATAAATTCTTCCCTCACGATCTTTGCATTAAAATCGCCGAGGATAACCATTTCATGCCACACAATGTCTACAGTTCTATTCAATTCATCACAAAACTCTTTTCATTCGTTGTTAGCTTCTTTTGTTGACGCATGGGTTGATATAACCGTCACATTTCTTCAATCTTAGTTTACATATCCTCTCTGATATGGGTTCAATTGAATAATACTTTCTTTCGTTTTTCCATTTACTATGACCCCCGTTAGCCATATTTATTCTTATGGACGGATTAATGTGACGGAGGGTCATTACAATCAATTGCCTCACTATCGGAGTCAAAAAGAGGGATATATACCAGCCACACCATCATAAGAATGTTAGATACCGACATGTTTTACAAAGCAAAGAGAAAATTAGTGATATGAATAAAATTAGCTTTCAATTAAATGTCTGGCCGGTCTTTGGTGTGCGTTTGTACAATTTTCGGAGACGAAAGATAGCAGGTAAACTGCCGTTGAGCGTTCGTTGGAGGAATATCATTCACAGGGTGACGGATGGTGAGGTGTCGAATGGCACTTTTTTTAAGAGAAAGCCTTTTAGGGGCTTTGCTGTTATCTCGATTTCTATGGTCAGGGGTGAAGAATCCCCTCTGGTACTGCCGTTTACGAATGTGGCTCTTCACACAAAGAAGCCCTCAACCTTGGTAGACCCAAGTCTCCCTTGGTGCCTGAGAGTTTCGGACTCTTCAGACACTTTAATAGTAACTAGATTAGGGTGGGGTAACCGACGCTGTTAACTCAAAGTGAGTTGAATCTTTTAGACAGGCTGAGGTGGCTCAGGACATCAATTGTTGTCACTGCAGTGCTTGTGACCGGGAGGTCCCAGGGTTCCATTCCCGACGGTGGCAGGATTTTCGATACTAGCTACAAAGTTAGGACGAATTCAGCAGCTGTCTTGAGGGGAATCGTCTGCTGCTCTGATCGGTAGTTTTCTGTGGTTTCTCCGAGTAACGCCAGGCGAATACCGGAGCAGTACCCTAACAAACGGGCCACAAACAGCGCGCGATCTTTCCTTCCTTTTCCTTGTCGTATCCACACCCCTTACTTACACCCACTTATACTTACATGCACTACACTACCACATACGCCGGGAGACCGGTGAAGATTTTGCCCCGATTGAGATGGCGCCCCGCTGGTGGTACACATATGGTGGGGGGAAACTACCCCGCATAGCCGAGGTAGGTTGGCGCCGGATATCGCCATTCAGCGAAGGACGATCACCATCACCTGTGGCTAAAATGCTACAGAATAGCGCAGACTTTCTCATACTTAAGAATATTACTTTAAGAATACTATAGAAGCATAAAACCTCATTATATATGGCCAGTTTTGTGGAACAATTTGGAGCCGTTTTTAATAAAATGTTATTTTAGTGTATTCGTATCAATTAACAAAGTGTCGGTTAGCTTAATACGTATTAATGGGTTGAAGGATGTTTAAAAAATTACATTTATATACTTTTTGAAAAACAAAAGCATACTTCAAAGCGGCATTAATGTTATGTTGTTTAATTCTTTTAGCCCTATCCGATCAAAAACGTTGAAGAAAAAATGGATTTCAATTTTTCAATCACCTAATGGTAGAACTGATATATGACTTTGGGAATATTATAGAAGAGTAAAATGTAGTCGTATATAGTAATTTTCGTCCAAAAATTTGGAGACGTTCGTTCCAAAAACTTGGAGAAAATATCGTTTAAGCGTTTCTGTAAGTGCGGAATTTGAAGCACTTTTTCAAAGGAAGCTTTTGAGTTTTGCAGAATCCACATTTGATATCAGTTGAAGAACTTCGTTTCACGAATACAAAAATGTATACAAATCGCTCCAAGTCTCTGCTAGTGGATGGGGCGACGGCCTGGAAGTCGCCCGCTGTGACTGAATAGTCTAACGACTACCATTCATGGGAACATGGGAATGAGCACTGTATCCGTACGTGTCACAGTGCCACCTGCATGGTTTTCCCTTTAGCCGTGACTGATGACCACTTCCCACAACGTTTAACCCTGTCGTCCGAGAAGCGCTGTGCCTATGGGTGAATTTGAACCATGTAACTCATTGTAAAACCCGAAGATGTGAAAGGACGATTCCACGAAACGTTGTTTCAACAAGTATTAATTTGTTAATTCAACTTGATTAAAAACTGTTTTTCAACGTATTTTGAACTGGTTTAATTTTTTATCATCTACAAATAACGAAAGAATAAACCTCAGCTTTAGCGTGTTGCCTTGCGTTTTGTGTATTGAAGACGGAGCAGAAATATGAAACTTTACTTTGGAGATTGATTTTCTCAACTTTTGACTGATTTTCTTTAAAGCTACTGCGTGCAACTTAACATATTCCAATAGGGGTTAAAGACGCACTCTAGAGTTTTTCTGCTTTCTTTTTGTTCAAGAGAGAAATTACTGTTTCACCGCTTAGGGTTCTATAAGTTAGGGTACGAAAAGTTATAATGGTGTCGTATTTCAACGGTTATCGGATGTCTACCAAAAATTCGAAACCATCGCCCCGCGTACTCGCTTCATGGAATCTTCTGCGTTCTACATCCAGGCCTGCCCGCAACCGCGTTGCAACCTTGTATCTGTCATGATACGAAATTTTAATATTGATAATTGTCATTGTAGAGAATTCTAATATTTATACAACCCACTTCGTAGAAATCACATTCATCGAGTGACAGTATCAACAGATCATTTTAAGAAATCCACATATACAACTTTGCTTTACAACACATACTTTGCTTACTTACACGTTACTTTACAACACATTGTCAAACGACATTAAACAATTAAAATCGGTGCACAAAGTTAAGTTAAAAGTGAAATCTTTTCTGCTGCATAACAGATTCTATGTAATTAGAGACTATACTGACCATCAAAAAGGAAAATAATATTTATTTTTTTACTGACATATAATACATTAGTTTACCTTTGTTTTGAATAATTTTAAAAATGATTTTATTTGCCTGTAGCAAGTAATATACTTTGGCTTCTGGATCAATGACTCCCATCTCGATCAGGTTTTACCCCAGTTTCCCTGATCCATTGAGCAAATGCTCAAATGGCCCCATGTGTTTCCTCTAGACATAAATGTAGCTTCACTATGCGCACGTTTTATTGAGTTCAATTTTTGCTAGTATTGGTAGATGTAGAGCCTGGAATAGGTTACTATTTGTTTAGTAATACAAAAAAATTAAAATCGGCAGTTCATGTATTGATGCTAATAACTTCTCTTTAACTCGGAAGGGAAAATGTCTATTTCTCAGCCAAGCCGAAAGCCAAGCCGAAAGCCAAGTCAGGTCCAGGTATCTCCCACCAGTGGGGCACCGTCCCAGTTGGGACAAGTTCTAAGCTCCCGACCGGTCTCCCGGCTTATGTGGTGATATATGTGTGTGAGTGTAAGAGGTCAAGATAGAACAAGAAAGATCGCGCGCGGTCCGAGACCTGTTTGTAAGGAGTGTCGGCATTCGCTTAGTGTTGATTGGAGAAACCAGAAAAATACCGATCAGAACAGCCGCCCACTAGGATTCTCCTCCAGACCACGCCTGAATTCGACCTAGATACCTAGATATTGTGGAAAAATCATTCCATTGTTGGAACTCGAACCCTGAAGTAACATTAGTTGATGCCCTGAACCACCTCAGTCGATCGAAATGGGATTGGGATGCAACTACTTAGATCATATGTTGCCAGCCTCTTGTACGGAGAGCGGGGATGCTTGAAGAAAGTAGTACCAGGAGAGATGACTCAGGGCATCAACTAATGTCACTGCAGTTCCTCTGACCAGGAGGTCCTAGGTTCGAGTTCCGACGGTGGCTGGATTTTGGACACTGGCTGGAGAACTAGGTCGAATTCAGTCGCTGTCTGCAGAATTCTAGCGGCCGGCTACTCTGATCGGTGTTTTTCGTAGTTTCTCCGATCAATATAAGGAGAATGCCGGGGCAGTATCCTAACAAACGGGCCATGGACCTCGCGCGATCTTTCCTATCGTTTCCCTGTCCTATCCTCTCCCCATAAACTCATTTACACTTACATGCACTTCACTATCACACATTATCGGGAGACTGGTCAGGAGCTTAGATATTGTCTCTGCTGAAGCGGTGCCAAACTGGTGAGAGATACCTGGTTAGGATAACCCCGCTTGCCGACGGTCGGCTCCGAATCTCAGCATCCAGGGGTGGGGGAGATCACAGCCTCCTCACGAGGAAAAACATGCATCACACGTACGGGGCTTATGACCATAGCGGTTCCGCGCTGATCACCAATCAATCAATTGAATTAAGTAGAAGACGGAGAAGGAAGAGAAGCAAGGGAGGATGAGAAGGAAGAAGGAAGAAGGAAGGAGGAAGAAGGAAGGAGGAAGGAGGAAGGAGGAAGGAGGAAGGAGGAAGAAGGAAGAAGGAAGAAGGAAGAAGGAAGAAGGAAGAAGGAAGAAGGAAGAAGGAAGAAGGAAGAAGGAAGAAGAAGGAAGAAGGAAGAAGGAAGAAGGAAGATAGATCAAGAAAGAAGAAGGAAGAAGAAAAGAAAAAAAGTAGGAAGCCGAGAAAGGAAGAAGACAACGATAAAGATAATGATCAAGGCCAATAGGATGAATGCTTCTTTCTGAGTAAAATAAACCCCAAATAGGGATATTCCATGTTGAACTTCATTTAACAGAAAATATCATATTTTACAATATCTGTCAGGGATGTAGACTAGCAAAATATGGGCCTGCCAATTTTTTGGGGGACATCATAATACTTTACTCAATATTGTTGAGTGGTCTTGTAATACTTTACTGGGAGCAGGATGCAAGGCATCATGACTAGGATCCTTAAGAATAATGACATCATGATTGAAAGAAGCATGGAAGAATGACTTTTGAATATCGAATCAACTTCGACTATCGATTTCAAATCTTGCTATATAAGAGCCGCCTTGTCGACTACTTTTCAGTAATCGATTAACTGTGCTATGGACGACGTGTAAACGTAGGAATTGTGAATTCGAATACTGTGACGGCATGTTGAAGAACATTCCACCTTCCGCGAAGAAACTCTGTGTCAACACTGGAAACATTCTCAGCGTAAACGAAATAAAGAAAAAAGCAGGACAAAATCCAACAGATGAGGTAAGAAAGGAGATTAAATGTATTTTACATATAGCTTAAGCGGTTTCATGTAAGCATTCATCCTGAGACGTATGATGCATTCAAGGCCGCAATGAGGTTGCAATTTCATTACATTTTGAGTGACATCATTCGATCATCTTATTATTAATTGTCAAATCATATCATTATTTGTTGCAGTTGATAGAGAGCCTAAAGGTTACTTTAAAGAACTGGCAAGCCACCGACCAGACTGGAGGAGATACAATTCAGGTAATTTAATCTCTCGTAGAAATTACACAACATTATGTAATGATGTGAAAATATGTACATATGTTGATACTGTGCACCACATTAATTGTATGTTAATGCCAATGAGTACTATTCAATTTTTTATGCCTGTAGGTTTACCGAAATGAAGATGACCTGGCTGCTAAACTGGATTCCGAAGACAGGAAAGGGCTGAAAATTAGTGTTAAAGTTTTTGTATCTTCTCTTAAAGAAGGTACTTTACGGGAAGCATTGAATGGCAGTAAGTTCAATACTGTTTTTAACTTGATCTTAATATATTCTGAATATATTATAATAGTTCTTATGTTTGCAGTGTTTGCAGCTCTAAGAACCCCCTTTATAGATTCTCTAGTGCTAGCGTATCCGAACAAAACCAACAGTAATGAATTACTATCTGATCTTCAACAGTTATGGACAGTTCTAGAAGAATATGCAAAGAGTCAAAAAATTTTGTGTATTGGTGTTAGTGATTTGGAAACTGATGTATTTGTGGCACTCCATAGTTGGGCCAATGTAAGTAGCTGGTTGTGACAAGCATGTGAAACCTGAGTAGTTAAATTAACATGGCTCGTTTAAGAATCATTTTGTTTATTCTAACAGGTCAAGCCGAGCATAATCCAAATTAATCTGGCAAGCTGCTGTGTGGTACCCCCCGCATTACAAGAATTCACAAAAGAAAATGATGTTCAACTTCTAACGCACAGTGACCCGTTTGGTAAATATTTTTTAAGTATTTCAAAAGCTTTGCTGAAATCACTTATCAATTTTGTCTTTGATCCTGATATGTGATTTCTTTTTCCTGCTGTACGTTGCAGGGAATTATGGTGAAGAACGTGGTAAGCTTAGATTATTAAGATTAAGTTTAAAATTGGTTGTTGCAATATTGATGTCAGCTTAAATGTTTCTGCTTCTTCCTCGTTTTCCTGAAAGTTCCCTGTGTGGTTGAAAGTTTGCTTAACATTATAGTCTTGGTCTGTAACGGTATTTTATGTGAATTTTCATGATCTACTGAGAGAGTAACACAAGGAACAGAAATCTACTTTGATGTGGTAGTTGCGGTGGTGCTGTGAACTAACAATAAGGAATCTTATAGATTTTTTTTCCAGATTTTACTGTCATTTTATTTAGTATTCAAAGTTATTTTGTGTTTTTAAGAATTTCCCCTAGGCAAGTAGTATCTGCTAGCCTATGCAATATAATGTGCAGGTCTCCGATTCTGATAACCTAAAAATTCTATGAAATGGACCTATAAAATAACTTAGCAATAAGAAAAAATGACAGCATTTTTTAATAATTAGTATAAAATTTGTAAGGATGTTTATTTATTCAATGGATTTTAATATTTAAAATAAAATGTATGTACGTACCATTATATATGAAATAAAATCTTTAATTCTAGAGGAAATGTAATCCTTAGCTCTGATCTTCCAAGCATCAGTTTTGAAAGGTTGAGGTAATAACCGAAAATTAGTGTAATTTTCAAAGTTTGAAAAACAGAGTCCAATGCTGTTGTGAATTTTGTCATGGACTGATGATACAATAAAAACTCGGTTTTAGTGCATCTTTGTAACTATATGAAATGTTCACTGACAAAAACCTTGAAAAGAAAATGCGATAAATGACAATGTCGCTAAGGTTCAGAAAAAAGACCAGAAAATTGAAAAATGGGAAAACTGACAAAAAATGCCCTAATAACTACATAATTGTCACATACACTTCGTTATAATCATGCATTTACAATTTTTAGCTGTGTCTTGAATTCACTAAGGAAAAGATGACAGGTCATCAGAATTTGAGCCCTGTTAATATGTATATAAATGCTTTATTCTTGCATTTCTCCACAGCTAAATATTCTAATAATTTCTATCATCAGTACAAAGTTTTTGTTTTTAAGGAAAGATATTTGCTCACCAGAGAAACTTTATTTGTTCTGTCATTTTCTTTCTGACAGCTGAAATGATGCACAGATCTGTCCTTGTGTGATTTGGGACCATGTGCATTTCCGAGTAACTCTTTAAGCACCTGACATGATATCTTGACCTCCTACAGATAAACAAGCAAATAAAGATCAATTTTTTCATTGTTGCTCAAATTCAGTATAGCGTTGTTCCACTGGATAGTTGTGTGATGATCAAAATAATGAAATATTGCTTGCAGATACATTGAAAGCACTGAAACAATTTGCAAGATAGCTGTGATAGAAACTTTTTTGGTTTTGGAATATGTTAATATTGAGAAGAGTCCACTGTCCAAAAGACACTGGTTGCCTAGAAATGGGTTAATTATAAGTAGGTAGTAGAAAACTATCAACAAGTATAAAACAAAGTGTTCAAATAATTTGAAAGTGAGATAATTGAGCTCATAAGTATCAGGAGACAATCAGGGCTTCAGTGCCCATGTCAGTGGAACCAGTATTTCTGATAATTTCTTGATAAGATAAACTGGCAGTCAGGAGAGATCAAATATCAAGAAACATGATTGTAAAGATAGTAAATTCTTTTTTCCTGATATATTTGTTTGCTCTACTTTTCTTTCTGTTTGTCTTTTGTAAATAACACTGCTTATTCCTAGTACACTTTAGAAATCCTTCCTGATCTCACTGAAATCTGATCTCTTTGAAATTATGATTCCTTTTTAATAACATATGCTCATGCCATTCTAGAATGTAGTTCTTCTTTTAAAATCTTGTTTTTGATGATTCTTTAAAGATTCATATTGGTAGTAAATTTGTTCTTGTGTTATTAGGTATAATCTTTGCTTGTTAGAGAAAAACAAATGAATATGACTCTCTCTGATCTCATATTTTAATGCAAGTAACAATGCGAAAACTAATAGATAATTAAAATGGTTTTTATATTTCTGTTTCAGAAATACTGTCTCGAGCTGCATTGAATGACGTATTTGGTATGGCAAGTACTGAACACCCAGGAGAAGTTTCGTTAGATTGGGCACTGAGATTTCAAGTTCATGTGAAATGCCGAGGAGTTCTTTCTAGCAAAGGTTATCTTGTTAGTGTGCTTTGGGATACGCCTGATAATAATGAATGTCCATAAGGGGGTGGAAACAAAGTATGTTATAGAGCAGATGATGCATTCTGACTATTCTTGTACTGACAATTGAAAATAGTTTTGCATTGAATGCATATTTGTATTTTTTAGCATTGTTAGCACAAGGAAGGTATTGGGCATCAATGCACTTTAAATAAAATTGTATTTTATGTGAGGGACCTAAATTTTCATATTCCGTTCAAATAGAAAAATATTAATAATGTTACCCCATTTAAAGAGGAGTGAAGAAAAGCATGACAAAATATTGTTTTCGTTTATAATTTTATTATTTTTTAAAATCTAAAAAAATGCAATTATTATGTGCAACTTTACTTATCTTGTTATTCCATAAACGTCTTTCCATTGTATTTTGAGAGAGATGGTGTTTTATAGTATTATGTGCCTTCATGTAGTACCTTGCTCTTATTTCATTGCAAGAGTAATTATGTTAAATGATAGCCAATGGGATGGCTGATTTTCAAAATCTACTGTTTCTGTTGATAGTTTGAAAGTTTATTAAACTTATTTTAATGTGTATTTTATATTATACAATTTGTATTTACACTATATGAGGTCCTGTTCATATGAACAGGACACAATACACAGTATTTGAACTTAGATATAGAAAATGTCATTTTGATATGATTAGCAAAAGTTGTAATATTTGCAGCATAGTAGTAAGCATAGTGTGTTTAAGTTACCAGATATGAACATAATTGATGTAAATGTGAAATATCTGATAATGGATTTTAAATTGCATGTTTATGCAATGCTTAATTCTAGGTGATTAAATTGAAATAATGCAAAGTAGTTTCAAATGTGTACTTTTTGTGCAACACTTGAATAAAATTTTATGTGAATAAATGTGAATTTAATTTTTTCAATTTGCTATTTAAAGAAAGGGGGCGGGGAATATGTAGTTGAGGGCTTGAAATTTCTAAATTCTTCAAATTTGTCTAATCATTTAGATTAAGGACCAGAGTTTCATGTAAAATCTTTGTCTTGGCTCTTTTGTGGTGATTTCTCATGTATGTTATTCACAATTTCCATTCGTAATTCTAAATGAATGCTTATAAAAGATTTTGCTAATTGCCTTTCAGAACACACTTCACAATCATATTATGGTGCTGCTTTATGCTAGCTTGCTCTGGCAAGAAATTGTTCATAATTTGCTTCTACAAGTGAAATTGTGTATAAATGCCATAGCCAGTTTCCTTGTTCTAATATGGCAAACATCGGCACTTTTTTGTACTCTGCATTCGGAAGCAGTGTGAATACATGATTCCAGAAATTCCCCAGCACTTGATTGAGATAGAATTTGTGACAAGTGCGTGAATAGTTTCTGTTGTTTTTCTGATTTTATTTTAATTTTTTATTTTATGGATTAAAATATGCACATTCAACAAGTGTATAGTCCATTTAGGACACTGAAATTTTTAAAAATGTAGAAAGTTTACCAACCCTTTGGAACCTGTCTTTCAATGATTATAGAACTTGCGTGTAACAGTCTGCAAAAATGGCAGAATTTTTTGGTTACTTCTGAGGGAGAGGTGGAAGAAAATTAAAAATACAAATTCTCTAAACTGAGAAAGAAAACTAACAAGGTTAATAAGGTAATTGTTTGGATTAATAAGATGGAATTCTGCAATAACTCTCCTGATATACAACAGAGAATGAACAGGCAAACTTCATGAAAACAATGAAATCATTCACATTTCTGATGCCATGTTACACTTGGGAGCAATAAATGCATAAACTTGGCAATTCACTTACATTTTACACAATCCAGCAGATGTATGTTGTTACAAGTTTCAACTTGTACATCAGTTGACAACGGCTTTCGTGAATAAAATTGCCAAGTCTGTCAATTTGAACTTGAGCAAGTGCTTATCCAAACTTGCAATTGTGAGAGTAAAGAGCACTGCAAGCAGTTGCTACAACCACGTCCAGTAATCACTTCCCAGTGTAAAGTAAAATTCAGGGTCCATGAAATGTTACTTTTTTTATTTGAAACATATTTATTAGCTTCAGGTTTCTCTAGTTAATTAGATATTGTATGTTGTGAAGTAGTTTAAAGGATTGTAGATTAGATGATGTATTGTAATCTGTGTTTCTACAAATTACAATGTCTGTTCACTGAATAAAATCACAGTGAATTCTTCTTGTTTATTGTACGTCTTCACAGTACATCATTTCACTGATCTCAGTGATGCGATCAGATTTTTTATTTGGTGTATTTCATTTTCTGATTCTTCACTCTGAACATTACGATGCTGATAGATGTGGTCAACATTTTTTTTGTGAGGTGATGTTGGACGTGGCTTTTTGGTGAAAGATTTCAAGCACGTGGACAAATTATGATTGACTGAAAATCATATAGATATGTAATGTTTCATCCATTGAAATTCTTGGGTTTTCTTGAAGAACAAACAAAAACAAAAATTCTGAATTTATCAAACTGTAAATATTTGAATTTTTTTGGGTTTACAGTATTAAATTAAATATATTTGGAAGTGTTTCTCGAATGAAAGAAGTTTGATGTAAATCAAGTCAAAGAACTTACTAATTTTCATTTTAAAATATTTTTTCTTTTTAAACTCACAAATTAATTTAATTAAAGATGTTTAAAATTTTTCTGAAAATAATATATGGTTGGAACACCTTTTCATATTTTCATTAAAATGTCAAATGCATATTGCTGTAATCCTACTATGTATTAATCTTAAAATCACTATAGTTATTAATTAGAAAGATAATAGTATTGTTTAAAACCTAAATGAAGTGTTTACTAAATTTGTTGTAAGCTCTACTTTATCATTGAAAGAAGAGATTTTATGACCTCAGGTGAATTTTACTGTCACATAAATTCATGAAATTTAGAAAACTTATTAGTGATTGGCTCTTATCATCTCATTTTTGACTTAAGCTCTCTTTTATTACCATTACTTATACCCCTGTTACGTGCAGCCCTATTTTCACAACACATGTGGATTGTTATTTCCACAACTATGTGTATGGATCCAATTATTCTCAAACACGCTTCAGCCTGTTCCGTCTCATATACGTTGAACAGATAAAATGTACTGAGAATGCACTGCAAACCTAGTTTCCTTTCCATGATGTTATTACTCAACAAATTCATAATTTGTAAAAAAATTAATTACATCATTTAAAGATCTAGAATTGCAGGAAAAATTGCATTATGAAAGTAAATTCTGGTTTAAATATTGGAGGTGCAGAACATGTTAGAAAAATATTTGAATTTTTACAATATTTGGAATTTTAGAGGTTTTAATGAATAATTGATAATTATCGTATTTATAAGCACACTGTACTTCAGCCTCTATCTGAAAGAGGTGGTCTGCTGCTTTGGTTAGTAGTTTCCATTTTCTCCTAACTGTTTCAGGTGAATGTCAGAGTAATACCTCAACAAGAGGGTCTCAGACCAGATATGATCTTTCCTTCTCCATCATTGTCCCTTTCTCTCCCCTTACACCCACCCACACTTACATGCACCACACTGTTGCACATGTTAGGAGCTTACAACTTGTTCCAGGTGGATCAGTGACTCGTTGGGTGGAGATATAGTGAGGGTCAAAAAATCCAGAAAGCTGATGGTGGGTTGTACACCAGCCAAATTGGGAACACCACAACCCAAGATAAAACATTAACTGACTGGATTAATAACCAAAAGTATTTGACTTGTCTGGGAACATTGATCAATCAATCAAAAATATATAAATAATTTTAATTTATAACAATGTAAAAATATGTATGCGTATGTTCCACACAATCTTTTGAACCATAGTAATGCCTAATTTTTCGTGACGGGACTTGGTCCATCAGGCCTGTTCTTCTGTCTGACCATTCAAAATTCGCTATACTCCTTTCACAGAGTGTCTGCTTACAGATTTTACAGTTTTTTTTTACCATCTGAGAAAAACCAAAAAGAGATGCACTTTTGGTGTTACCTCACAGAGGGAGTGGAGATGGTTAATAGTAGAATGGGATATGAGAACAGGATAATTGGCTAGTTGTAGTATATAAAAACGTTTGTGTGTATGTATGCATAGGTATGCATAGGTTTACGTACCATAAAAGCTTTTCAACTACTGTAGTGATTGCTCCCAAATTTTGATGAGCTAATTTGAATACCCAAGAAAAATATTAGAAAGGAGTTCATGATGCCAAAGTATTAGGGCCTGTCCCTAATTTGGTTGCACGCCTAAAGGCTGTATGGGTATTTTTACTGAAAATGATGTAATGCATCTAGGCAGCATCATTGCTGGATGAAGAAGTTATAATGGCTTGAGGGAATCAGATAGGTCAATACATAAATACACAGGCAACTCTAGTAAGGCAGGTAATCAGGTTGGTTTCTTTAAGGTCCCATCAACATCTAGATTGTTAGCGACCACTATTGCATTTAATGTTATGGTAACTGTGAAGGTGACATGATATGGTGATGATAGGAGGAACACAAGTACAACCATCCAAGTACAAGGCAGGACTTGACCTCGCGATCCTTTGGTGCAAGATTGCTAGGGCACTACTGCCTTAATGATCTTGGCTATCCGAACCAGCAATCATGTAGTTTATTTACTAATGATAAGCCAGTTTTTCAAATTTAATTGGAAAGTAAGAAATCTTTGAACATTAGTAGAAAATGGTAACTATTATTTTGATTATTGAGGAGTGAGAAAAATGAAAAGTTGTGGTTTGTTTCCCTATTAGGAAAGTATTGTTTTATTAAATGTAGCATAATGTATTTTCTCATGCCTCTCATAATAACTTTCACAATAATGCAAACGGTTTTAAATCTTTCAAAATAAAAAAAGAGTTGCCCGGTGTTGTAATAAAAAGATGAGTTCAAAAACAATATCCTGTTCTTTAACGTGTGCCTTGTGATTTTGCAAGATGAGAAAAAATAGAAGTTCAAAATTTTTGTTAAAAAATGAATGAAACCTAGATTTATGGTTTCATGTCAATGTTGCATGACTAAATACTGTTCACATAGCAAAATTTAGTGTACACTGCTTTGTAGTTTATCATCTGATAGTCTTAAAAAATGTTTGGTTTGGTGAGTATATATGTCACATATGTAGATGGTAATTTATGCTTTTTAAATCAGTTTGTTAATACTAATGATTTAATTAATGAATTGTTTAATAATTGCGGAGTTACTTGAGGACAGTATTTTGTATTCATTCAAAAAATACAAGTTCAAAAAATGTCATTGAAGTAAAAACCATTGGTTAGTGTAAACTGGGATATCAACGTCATGGGCAAGGAAACTAGCTTCTAACATGAGGTGAAAAAAATAGGGGTTATTCAAATAGCTATGGAGGGCCACTTTGCACCTCGCCCAACAGTCTGGAGAAGTCAGTTGTCACTTTTTATTCAAATTTCTTCACCTTCAAATTTAGCTATAATAATTCCTATTTCCTCCACTAAAGCAATTAATTTATCCAATAAAATGAAATACATCAGTAATATTTGAATTTAGCAATTGACAACTGAATTGATCATTTTGAATTCAAAGGATCTGAATTTCTTAATTATGTTTACTTAAGAGTGCAAACAAGCATTAACTTTCCACATTCAAGTTAGGAACAAAGATTCTCTTCTGTTAAAGAGTATGGTACTGCAAAAATGGCTTTTCCTGTGTACACAATATATGTGCAAAGAATGAAACAATCATAGGCATGTGGTAGGCAGCTTTCATTTCATTCACAAGAGGGTGGGCTACTCATATCTGGATCCCTGTGGACTTCTTTTTTCATTTAACTTTTTATTTACAAATGACATATTTTACTAGTAAGTAAATAAAACAATAAAAGGTGAATAAAATAACTTTATTGGCACAATTAATAAAACAAGTTATTGAATGTTGAACCATTTTCAAAGTTAACAAATGGAGAGCCTTTTTTTCCGAAGGAAATGTTTTATATTCAAAGGACTAGGGGGTCCCTTTCGAAATTTACAGTGCTGTTCTCATTGAAAATGACAGATGATTGACACAAGAATGAGCTTCTTGCGTTCCGTGCTTGTGCTTTTGTGTATGTATGTGTTTTTGTGCATGTATGTAATGCATGGTTTTGTGTGTGTGTGTGAGTGAGTGAGTGTGTTTGTGCAACACACACACTCCCTCTCCAGCACTCTCTCTCTCTACACACTCCCTCTCTCTAGACCAGACTTTCTCCCCTCTCCAACACACTCTCCCTCTCATACATTCTCTCACTCTATGTAGTGAGAGTGAAAGTGTGAGAGTGTGAGTGTGAGTATGAGAGTATACAGTCCCACCAACTATGGCCACCCCCATAACTTCTTAACGGTTCACAATATCAAATTGCAGATTTCGCTCAACAATGTGGAATCATGGGGCAAGTAACATGGGGAGAGGTATCGTTTGAAATATTTTTAGTTTTCGAGAAATTTAATCACCTTTATTTTTTTTAAATTGAACCGAATATTTTTCTTACTTGCAATAGATATATCATAATAATAGGAATGCAATGATGTAACTTATGTTAATATTTTGAGAATAATATTATACTTTCTAGCATGTGATTTTAAATTCAACGTGCAATATTTCCTGTAGCAGCCCTTGCATCTGGCGCTCTTGGGGAAGGTGGTTTTCGCAACCTCTCCTCGCAACAATGCGCTGCGAAGGCCACCTTCCCTAAATGCAACAGTTGCAAGAGCTGCTACAGGAAATATTGTCCGTTGAATTTAAAATCACATGACAGCAAGCGTAATTTTACATTCAAATTACTATCAAAATATTAACATACGATATATCATTGTATTCTTTTTATGCCCTATCAATTGCTGTCGAGAAAAAATTGTAATTTCATTTAAAAAATCGAAGATTAAATTTCTTGAAAACAAAAACATATTACCAACACTATCTCAACAACACAATATTTACCTATTGATGGCGCATTATTGAACGAATGCATATGTATCATAGGCACGCGCGCGCGCGCACACACACACACCTGATGTGTGTGTGTGTGTGTGTGTGTATATATATATATATATATATATACCAAAATAGCAAAATGCATCCCGGATAGCCGCTAACATTGTTCACAGACAAATGGACAGATGGGCATTTACCGTAAACAAATTTCCTCGGTAACAAGGATCCATAAAACGTGGATTCTGGATACACAACATTTTAGAGGAAGTAATTTAGTACACATTGGAAGAAGATTCATCCTCTTATTCGGTATCAGGGTCTCACAATAAACGCTTTTTGTCGAAAAATTGAGTTTTTTTGCAGCAGCATTGTTTATTACTCAA